AGCTGCTAACTGAAAGGTTGACGGTTCAAACTCACCCAGCAGCTTCACAAGAGACCCACCTGGCAGTCGGCTAGAAAGGTTACACCCAGGAAACCCTACGGGGCAGTTCTGCCACACAGGGTCTTGATGAATGAGAAATGACTCAAGAATACCTAACAATCCCCCCGCCCCCTGAATTGTTCTTTTTCGTACATGAATTTGAGCATGAACACATTTTCAGGGACATAGTTATAACAATAGCAGAAATGTCTGTATGTTGCCTTTCCACCTAGAACCATGGCTCAATTATTCATACTCCTATATAAAGCCAATCCCGCTACTGGCGGACCACGTTCCACCCCCTCTTGTCTATTCAGGCGCCTTCCTCAGATTTCCCCTCTGTTCCCTCGATCATCAATTTTTCATCTTTCCAGGAACATTCTCTCAATATAAAAAAAACAAAGCAAACTCATGCTGCTACTTTTCCCATTTATAGACTCAAGTCTCTTTCCTGACTCCACATCTACCTTCTTATCTCCCCCCCGCCCCTTTTTTCTTGGCTCCTTTATAGCAAAACTAATTGAAAGTGGTGTCTATGTTCACTACCTCCAGCTCTGCTGTTTGCAGAGCTTAAGTCCATCCCTGTCTGGCTCTGATTCCCTTCACCTCACAGAAACTCCTACTGTCAAGGCTGTCAATGACTTCCTCACTGATCAATCTAATCGTCAGTTTCTAGTTACTACCTTACTTAAGGAGCCCAGGTTGCACAGTGATTAAGGCTCCACTAACTGAGAGGTGGGCAGTTTGAATCCAGTAGGCCTCCCACAGGACAAGTGTGGTCCCTGCTCCACAGAGATCGCAGCTCTGCTTGGTGCTATTGGGCCAATACAAGTCAGAACTGAGCCCACAACAAGGGTTCTCTCAGTTGGTGTATTAGCAGCGTTTAACAGTGATGCTAACTCTCTCATTACCCTCGGTCATGTGTTCCAGGTAACCATGCTTGATGGTTTCCTATCTCACGGGTCATTTCTTCTGTCTCCAGTGCAGGTTCCTCCTTTGCCCCACCTTGGTGTTGAAGGGCCCTAGTGCTCAGTCTTTGTTCTCCTATACTCAGTTCCTTTTGATTGCACCCCGTTTCGTGGCATCAGTAATCCGGCAATTCCCTAATTTGACTGTCGAGACCAGATACAGGGCTCTTGTCCACAGCGAGTTGTGCTGCTCAGCCAGAGGCTGTATCTCTGGCAGTCTGAACCCACCTGCAGCTTTCTCTACTTTTTCCATTGCAGGAGAAAGATGGCCAGTCTCCTTCAGTTAGGAAAAACCGCTGGAGCATCGCTGAGTGAGAAATGAAACCTGGCAATGAGTTTTCCTATTTATTCAATGTGTGTTGTTATATTGTGCACCATCAAGTTGAAATCGACTCACAGCTGCCCTTCTGGTGGGTTTTCAAAGGCATTAAACTGCACTGGAGTAGACTACTCATCCTTCTCCTGAGGAGAAGCTGGTGGAGTTGAACCAGGTGACTTTGGGGTTGCAGCACAGCTTCTTACCATTAGGCCTCGAGAGCTCTCCATATGTCAAAATTAGCCACGTCAAAACCTGAATTCTGAATTATACCTCAAAGCTACCCTATCTGTAGCTGTCCTTTGTCTGTTTATGACAACTCCACTCTGAGTGCAGTTATTGCCATCTCCTCTCCATTATACTGCATGTCACATGCACCAGGCAATCCTGGGATGTGCTATTTTTTGGGAGGTGACTTTTTTAAAAAAAATTATTAATTTTAATGATCATTTACAGAGATTTTTATTTCCCATTCATTGATTCTTGCATTATTTTTCCCTCCTTGGGTTATTGCAACTAACTCCTAATGTGGCTAACTTTGCCACCATACAGTCAAATCTCGGCAATGTCTGTTAGGTTATATGACCTGTTCAAGACAGTGGTGCTGAGTGCAAGTCCAAGTTCTCGTAACAGCCTCACTCCCGCCTGTTCTTCAGGACCTCCCATTCTCCTGGGTGTCACTTCCACTCCTCCGGCCACATGTGCCCTTACAGCTCCTCAAACACGTCAGGCACACTCCTCCTGCCTTTAAGGCCTTTGTACGGGCTGCTTCTTCTGCCTAATCTACTTTCCCATCTTCTTTGAGCATCTGATTAAATCTAACCTCCTCAGTAAGCCTGCTCTACTTAAAAATGTAAAACACTGCATCCTCATCTTCTCATAAATCTCAACACTTCACTCTGCACACTCCATCCACCTGGATAGTTTTTACCTTCTGACCTTCCAAGGAAATGATTTCCTTATGTACATTAAATTCAAAGTCTTTTCTTTTTTGGTGAGTGTATCCATTTCAACCAATTTCATTTGAGACTTAGATTTTTCTCTGATGTGACAGAATCTATTCTCTGTATGATTATGTCATTTTAATATGTAATGCTTGGAATCCTCGGAATGTCCCAGCCCTCTTCTCACCAGCTGCCAGGCCAGCCGGGCTGTTTTTATAGCTCTAGAAGCAGCAAAGGTGGTAGGGATAAGGCTGGGGGAAAGGAGTTTCCACTTAGGAGGGAATCCAGATCAAGTCACGCAACAGCCTCAGGAACAAGGGAGCTGCAGTTGCTGCTGTGGCTAGCAGAGGAAGCTCACGGAGCCACAAGGGTCCCGTGTGGTCAGAATCTTTACCGTCTTCCCACGTTAGGACACCTAATTATGCTAAGACTTTGGGCTGCCATAACAAAGTGCCACAAAGGGAGTAGCTTTAGAGAACGGAAATGTATTTCCTCATAGTTCTGAGGGCTAAAAGTTCGCATTAGGGTCTTTGCCACATTGATTCCTTCTGTGGGTCTCTCTCTCTTGGTTTCCAGCTGCTGCCAGCCATCCTTCGCATTTCTTTGCTCTTCACAGATGCCATCCGCTCTTTCATCCCAAGGTGTCTGGCTTCTTCTTGTGTTTGACTATTTTTCCCTTCTAAGGCACTACTCCTCAGGAAATAGGATTAGGACCCTATTCTAGTATGGATTTGGTACCAGTGAGTTAATGTAACTGATTGAAAAAATGGAAGATTCTATTTTCAAACAAGGTCACATTCACAGACATGGAGATTAGAAGTTGAATACACACATTTTTAGGGACATAATTCAATCCATAACAGCATCCTAGAGAATCACTCTAAACTTGTTTTTCAGATACCTCAGTCCTGTGACTACCAGAGTTAAGAGGCTCTCTTAGAATAAAACAAAACCAAACCAAATCCAATGGCACTGAGTCAATTCCAACTCACAGCCACCCAGCAAGACCAGGCAGACGTGGCCCAAGGGGTTCCATGTTGGAATCTTTACAGAAGCCATTATCTTCCTTTCTTGGGCAGCTGTTGGTTGATCTACTGAACAGTTAGCTGTTTAACCACTGCATCACCAGGGCTCTTTTTCGCTTAAAATAGCCAATCATAAGTGATTTCTTATGTCCTCTACCATCCCTTTACCAGGTCTTTGCAACTCTGGTGCTGCTAAAATTTTAAGCCACATAATTCTTTATTGTGAGAGTCATCAGTAGTATGATGGTTAATTCTTTGTGTCAATATATGAGGCTATAATTCTCAATGTTGGTCCAGCAGAATTCAACCCAAGACAGGCGGGATTCTTGGTCTTTCCCCATTAGCTATCTGTGACAAGAATGTCTGAAGAAGTTGCTAAACGTCCCTTGGGGGCAAAACCACCTCCAGCTGAGAACTACTGCCTTCACCTGAGAAGTCAGGACCACAGGAAAGCTTGCTCTTTTTCTTTAAGCTGTCAAGTTCTGTTAAAAACAGGTGGCCTACACCACAGTGCTTTTATTATTCAGGGTCTTGGTATTTTTTTTCTAGCAGCACGTAAGCTCAAGAGTAGTGACTTTCTTCATCATTTTTGTACACTTCCTTTAATACTAGCTGCATCTTCACTGCTTTTAACTCAACTAAGTCACATAACTAATACCAAATGCACATTTCAGAGTTTGATGCATGCAACCCCTCAGAGTATCAATCTCTGACTCAAAAGTTTGGGCTGGAGAGAAGGGATCCACAAGGTTGAGAATTTTAAAGACCTGTTCAAGTGATACCAAAGTAACTAAACAATTGAGTTGCTGTATCAAGAAAATTACATTTGAACAAATATTTTCCTCAACTTTCTGGGTTTTTTTCAAGTAGTAACTACTACTTTCATTCCTGTAAGAACACAATGATTAATGCTTTTAGGAAAAAGAAAAGGAAACTTTTATTTCCCATCATATTAAGGAGATTAGCTTAATTCATATTATTTTCCCACTGAAGATGTATCAACATTAAAAAACTCAAAACTCATTGCCATCAAGTCAGGACTGACTTGAAGCTGCTCTTAACTGGCTGTAAAGCACACAGGAAGAGACTGGTCATTTTTCTTGTGCAGAGCCACTGTGGATTCTGACCCCTGCCAGCAAGGCTCGGCCTTTGTGTTAGCTACACAACTCCCTTTGGATTATGAGCCAGAGTGCCGTGAAGGCTAAGTCAAACGCTGTGCCCCACCGGCGGGTAGAACCCAGCAGCAGTTCTGCCAGAGAGAGGTGGGCAGTCTCATCCCCTGTATCTTTATTGCCTCCAAAACCCAATGAGATGTCAGCTAGGATTGATTTGGACTTGACAACAATGAGTATAATAACTCATAATAATGAGTTATCGAAAAATACCCCGCATTATAAAAAGTACTTTAATTCTAACAAAGAACATCATAGCTCTAAAACGATCCAGTTTAGTATAAAAATAATTTATATTTTAGTATAAAAATATATTTACAAAGGTTTCTACATTTCTAAAAATTTGGTACTTAAAATATAACCAATCTGGTGGTGACTATGGAATATTTTACGTGATCTCCTAAAAAATGCTGTTTTGGAGTTGAAAACGTCTGCTCGGAGACAAAGTGTGATAGAGCAATTCTTTGTACATTTTGACAAAATACAAAATCTTCCTTATAGGGAAGCTTAAGAGAAAACAATCTGTTGCAGTACAGCTAAGATGTATGGACTTGAAGCGGATCTACAGCAGTGACTGCTGATGACTTCCTGTACTTAGATATAAACGCATCTGTTTTTCCAAGGCTGACTTTGTAGCATTCCACAGGCACCAGAGAGCCAAATGGGGCCATTTTATCCAAGCCTTCCTGGTTCCCGGCTTGAAATGCCAATGTCGACTCCTCTGCGGTGTCACTGTTCCCCTCAGGATTGGAGCCCTTTTCCACCCCAGGCCCACTGGTGTGGTCGCTCCCTCCACGGCCTCTCAGCTGCCTGTGGTGATCTTCACTTAATAACAGCACAGCCGTCCCGCCAACACGCAGCACTCTGTGATAAGAGATGAGAATTACTAGGAGTATTTGTTTCTTTCTAAAAGATGACTAACAATCACAATTTATTTACCATATTGGGGATGTTTTTAATTTGAAATGTAATATTTTATCTATTGAATTACGAGGATTCTGCTAATTAGGCAGTATCTTACATAATACACATTCATTACAGTAATTATAGAATCAATAGTAAAAATCTGCTTTAATTACTTCTACTCTACAGAGAAGTGAAAAGGCTAGCCTCAAAGTAATTGTAGTCATATCCTAAAAATGATTACACAAAGAAAAAAGGCAAATGAGAGAATTCTAAAGAATCAGCACATATTAAAGGCTGCCTCACAGGGAGGTGGGGGGAGTGACCAGGAAAGAGGCCATGAACAAAGGGATGCGAAACCCAAGATGAGGGGGGCAGGGAAGGAAGACCTTGGAATGCTAGCTTTTTTTTTTTTTTGGAATGCTAGCTTTTTGAGAATTCATTCATCCAACAATTCAAGCAATGTCTTTAGAGAAGTGGTGAAGAACACACAGCCTCTTGACTTGCTAACAAATCACAAAGCAGTGAGAGAGAGAAGCAAATGAAGAGTTAAAGGGTATGGTAAATGCCTTAATCAAAGAGAGCCCAGGCTAGGGGAACAGGCACAGGAGAATGGCAGAAAGTTTCTGGAGGATGCATCACCAGCACTAGGAGTTCGAGGACAAGTGGGAGTTGGACAAAGTTAGAGCTGGGGCTGGATCAAGCTGAGGAAGCAGCAAAGGCAGGAAGAAGTGAAGAGGGGGAGGCACTAGAAGTAGTTCAGCATGAGGTGGGCGTGTGAATCACAGAAGGTGCTGGAAGGGGGTGGGAGAAAAAGGAGTTCAGTTTGGCAAGTGCTGAAGTTCTTGAGGAAAATGTTAAGTGTGGATGCCCAGAGACAGCTGGATACACAGCCTGGCGGTAATAAGAAAGGCGAGGGGTGATTATAGAGACCAAGAGTTTTCATTATGAAATGTCAGTTAAAACTCTAATGAGATCATTCAGGGTAACAGCCAGAGTAAGAGAAAAAAATGACAAAAGCAGAAACTTAACTTTTAGGGTGGGGCAGAGGAGATACACACATATATCCTAAGAGAAAATCTGGGTAATAGTTATGTATCAGAAATCAAAGGAATGAGATTTCAAGAATGGAATGGTTTCAACAGGACAAAATGCCAACAAGTGACCACAGGATTTAATACAAAAGTGAACATGGAGGAAGCCAACTCAAAAGGAGGGTGCAAATGTCTACACAGCACAAAGAACATAAGGAGTGTCACTTAAGTGACACGCACAAAGTGGAATACAATGAGCATTCAGCACAAACTGCTGAATCGGTATAAGTTTTGCTGCATCTACTGTCAACAATTACAAAAAGGAAAAAATAATAAACATAGGAACAGAGGCCAGCAGTCTCAGTTTGAGGCTGGTGAGTGTAGCTGCTGACACGCTGAGGCAGAACTGGAAGGTGAGGAAGCCGAAATGTTGGTAGATCTTTCTTACAAGAAGTTTAGTGTTATCGGTAAAACAGCATGGCAGCTTGAGCACCAAGAATTCTCGGGAATCTTCCCAGGTGCAAGAAAGACTTAAGAAGCTTTTCCTCATTTAATCATCAATAAATCTAGATGACTCTAACTCCAATCCACAAGTAATACTCTTCTGACTGACCTTGGCCTTCTTTCTAATTTTGTTATTCTTCTTATCCTCCTCCTCAATTTCTGCACTGAATCCAAATGTAAATCCCTACTAACTTTTCAACATCATCACTGTACTTGAAATTAACTTTAACCTCCTCCTTACGGCAGACAAGCCCTCCTTAGTATGACCTTCATCTTCCTTCCCAACTTTATTGCCTGCTTCCTCTACTTGCTCCAAATACATTGACTTCACTTCTGTCGCTCAAACTTACCAAGTTTCCTTTTTTATCTTAGGGCTTTTGAACTTATTGAACGGACTGCTAAGAGAACAAACAAATTTGTCTTAGAAAAGTGCTGCCAGGGTACTCCTTAGAGGTAAAGATGGCAAGATTTTATCTCACACATTTTGGGCATGTTTTTAGGAGGGGCTGTCCCTTGGAAAAAGACATTCAAAGACAGAGAATAAGAGAAAGAGAGTTAGATCTTCAATGAGCTGGATCGATCCAGTGACTACAATGGGCTTAAGCATGGCAGAGTGATGCTCATGCAGGATCAGATGAGGTTTTGAACTGTTGTCTGTAGGATCACTATGAGTAAGAGTAGATTTAATGGCACCTAGTTGTGCTGCAATCCCCAAAGTATGCAGTTCGAATCTACCAGCTGCACTGTGGGAGAAGTATGGGCAATCTCCTCCGTGAGATTTGTTGCCTCTGAAAATCCTCTGGACAGTCAGCTATGAGTAGGTTCTCACTTGGCAGTACACAACAATAATCACTTTGTGCTTAACACTCATTATCTTGTCATTTCCATGATTCATGTCTCAAACATCACCTCCTCTGAGAAGTCTTCCCTGACTACCTCACAGTCACTGTCTGGCAAACCATCCCATTTCTTTCCCTTCATAGTACTGATTAGGAACTGAAATTACTTATCATTGTTGCTTTCGCTATTGATCTATTTTTCTATCCTGGCATGTATGTTCCCCTTGGTCTGTGACGTTGCCTGCTATATTTATTGCTATTTCTTGGGTGCCTAGGATGTGTAAGCCCTTCAAAAGTATCTTAAGAAGAGAGAACTTTTCTGAAGAAGAGATGACTAACTCTGCAAAGCATAAGAAAGAGGAAGAGGCTGAAATGTGAGTGAGAAGTGGGTTGGGTGAGATCACTGGGGAGCTAAGAACTGAGAAGAGAAACCCTGGGCTGGTAGGAGGAGTCACAGTCAAAGAGAGGGGACAGCAGGTTGAGGAGATATGGGGATGCACACTACAGAACGAAAGGAAGACATACAAATTGAAGAAAACAGAATTAGAATAGCAAACAAGACCTAATACTTCACCTATTATGTTAACTAAGATGAAAAAACATGCTTGGGAATTAAAAGTACACAAGAATACACACACACACAACACTAGTGCTCTTGAGCACAGAAATTAGTAACATTTTAAAGGAGATAGCAATTTGGCAGTAACATGTAAGCAATGGAAAACATACATAGGTAGCCTTTGACTCAGCAACAGTCTAGGAATTCATCCTAAGGTCTAGCTGTGGTAGGATAATAAGAGTAATAGTGAGGAGAGCTAATCTTAATTCATGACTCACTATATATCAGGCACAATTTTAAATGCTTTGTGTATCATTTCATTTTCAGTAGCATCCTCTATCAGTGCTCCCCTTTGCAGTTTAAACTGAGGTACTGTGGTTTTAAGTAATTTGGTATATTAAGTTTGAAAAGCAGTTTATTCAAGGATATTAAGAGCATTTGTGATGCAGCAAATTGCTATAATATGGCTTTTCTATTGATGTGATTTCCATAAAGTGATTAGCTAGGATTATGGAAATGAAGTGTTTGTGGCTTATCAAGGTGACTAGAAAGTTTTATAAATGCCAATACGGTTTATGAAACTGAGTATGAAGTTGGTCAATTGGGCTATCCCACTAAGTTTAAAAGGAGCAAATCTCAGAGGTTGGAGTGAAACCTCACCACCATCAAGAACAACGGGGAGCTGAATGATGTGGCCCTTGGGTCTGGTGACCCTGCACTGAGAACCTTTTATCTCTCCACCCAAGAAACAGAAAAAGCCGTAAACACAAGACAGCATGAGATGGAACCAGCAGGTCAGGCAGGATTCAGGGCTCAAAGATTGGGAGAGTCCGTTATCTCTGGGCAGGAAGCTTCTAGGAGAGATGTCCTGGCTTTAGCTATTTGTTGGCAGAGTTAAAGGGCTTTGTAACAATTGACTGAGCAGGGCAGAAGTCACACCAAGAGCAAGGGGTAACAGCCAACAAGTAAAGGCTGAAGGTCAAAAGCTGAACAGCGCCTGCTTGTGGGCACGGCCAGAAAAGCATGCCAGCTTCCTGACAGAAGAACTGTATCCTGAACAATCCCTGTTACTTCCATGCTAATTCTGAATTATAACCTGTTACTTCTCTAATAAATCCTATAATACTATGTTCTTTTTGGTTTGTGGGTTCATTTTGATCACCACCACAAATTATTGAGCCCTCTGGATAGAGAGTGCTGTGGTGGGGTTGATGGTGTCAGACTTGGTACAAAGGCTTGAGAGTGGGTGAATGTCTAACTCCCATCTCAGCACCCATCTTTGGGCTGATAATGATCTTGATTCTCAACTCCCCTCCCAGTCTACTTGCAGAATTAGAGTGTCTTTGAGGTTATGTCATTTTACAGCCTTGCTCTTTATTAATATGAAGAACTGGAAGTCACCTAGATGCTCAGCTCATGACAAAAGAGCATATTAGATACACACATACACTATCACAAACACTTTTAAAATGTGCATTGTAACAAACTGATGAGACAGGAGGTTCATGACTTTGTTCCACCTTAAAAAAAAATCAACTCAGGTTACAAAAAATTAAGTTGATTCTAATGTAAAATGAAAAACAAATATCTATTTGTGTATGTAGGACCCCTGGTGGTATAGTGAATTACATGTTGGGCTGCTGAGTGAAATGATGGTGATTCAAATTAGTGACTCCATGGAAGCAAGATGAAGTAGTCTGCTCCCATTGTGACTCAGCCTAGCAAACCCGAGGGAGGATGATCAGGGCTGGAGTTGATTCACAGACAGTGGGGCTGGGTTTTGTGTGTGTTTTTTTTAAGAAAAATATTTTTTAAGGAAATATGCTTAAAAGTACTTTCATGTGTTTATTTACTGTGTTTTTAAAAATTATGTAGAAAAGAACAAAGTAAAAATCACCTGCAACAACTACTCAAAGTTTGGTGTTTTTGGTAAAGACTCTTCTAGTCATTTTCCTACGTATATCTATCTTTCTCCTGTGGAGCACCTGGTGGATTTGAACTGCTTGCCTTTGTGTCAGCAGCACA